GGGCTAGAGAAACCTTGAGTAAGTGCCCAACAGATTATGGGCTCTGAAATCAGATCCACGTGAAAATCCTGTCCGCATCTTCTTGCAGTGTGCTTCATTTTGTGTGAGTGTGCCAGCTTCCCCAAATTCCAAAAGACATGACCAAACTCTCCACGATTCGTGTAAGGTGTGTTCTGTACTGTTTTCTACTTCTGTCTCAGCCTTTATGCAAACGTTCCTATAAATCACTGCTGGTTTTTTGTTTTTAGTGCAAAGACTTAACTGTCAGCAATCATGTACTGGATGCACACACTTCTAGCAGTGTGTGTTTCTGTGCAATTTGCTTTATTTGGATTTTTCTTTCTTAATCCATTCCTTATTGTAAAGTATCCTGTCGCCCGGGTGATGGGTGCCATTTTCACTCCAGGACTCCTTTCAACCCTCGGTCTTGGATTCACGATGGTCCCTATCTTCTAATAGTTAGATTGAAATTAAAGGTCCAAACACTTTCCCTATCACTGCTCAGTTCTATAATATCTACAACACTTTAAAATGAGTGTGTTCTAAATGATATGATACTGTCAATATTGAGGAAGGCAGCCAAGGAGGTTGGGAATTTTCATCTCTATCCAAATACATCCTTTAGCCATTTCTGTCTTATTGACCCTGGTTTAAACTGCCACAGCTGTCAGACGATTGCAATTCTGTAGGCTTATCCGGGCTCAGCGGCAAAGGAGATTTCTGTTTTTTAAAATGTAGCTACTTCTCTGCATTTATATCATTTGTGCGCCTTTTTGTTTTGCATAATAAGAACTCGTTTAGTTTCTGAGGCAGACATTTGAGTTGCCATAGAGAAAGAGGAATACTGACTGGAAGAGATTCTAAGACTCCATTGACAGGCCTTCCAGAACCAAACAAAAAAAAGTTTTTTCCACAATTAATCTGCCTCATCCAAAATTCCCCCTGGGTCAATGAGATGGTGTGCTTCGGCTCCCCTTACATGTCTTCTTTGCCAGATTTTTACATTCTATATTTGTATGTGAGAGCGCACATGTCTGTGTGAAACACAAATATCCTATATTCTTTAGACTTTTGCAAAATTGTATTTTATTTTCATAATTTAAGAAGGAAAAAGATGCCTATGAACATAACCATGGTACTGTTATCCTAATTTCATCTGCCTCTGGTCGGCAAGTACTATACCAAACATTTTTACAGGGATAAAATTGATTTAACTCTAAAACTCTAGAAACCCTCCTCTTAAATTCACAGTTTATATGGGCCTCTCTGAATGTCAAGGAGATTGTTCTATATTTATCACAAAACTGCTAAGAAGCTATGAGTAATTGAAATGCCTGAGCAGATAGTTAAGATAGAAATGAAAATGGACCAAAAATAGTGGTGGCTGAAGAGTGATCTTTTCTCAAAAATTTAAAACTTGGGAAGGAAAGAACATGGTCAGAAAAACAGATGGCTATCTATTCCACATCGCTCTGTGGTCTTTAAAGCGTCCTTGGACGTGAAATCTGGCATTGGATTGGTGAGAGCTAAGCAATAACATGTTGTTGCCATTTCTCACCATTAGGTGGCAATTGAGTGCAGACGAGTTACAGAATTCCTCTTGTTCCTACACTAGAGTTTTTAACACCAAGTGGGAGGCAAAAGATCTCCTAAGATAAGTTGCTGGAGTATCCATCCACAACAGGAATGCTTGCCTATAAGATAAAATAAAGATGCTGATTTTACCCGACTTAGGTCATCTCTTTCATCAAAGTAATCTTTTACGCAAAAAAAAGTACAAGTCAAAATTATGTTTTTTCTTTTTACCTATTTGTGATATTAAGAAACTATCTGTGGACTATGATTTACTAATCTGCAAAATGATGTTGAATTGTTACCATTATTGTTTTTTCTTGACTGAAATATATCAGAATTAGCATATGAGTGTCACAGCTCCCTGACCCCTGGGTAAAGGTGATAATGGCAGCATGTGTCAGAGGAAATGTAGATTCTTTTATGGATCCCCTGAGGAGGACGAGATGTTAATTTTCATCTTGTCCAACTCCTTGACTTTGAAGACAAGGAAACAGATGCAAATCCAAAGCTGTGTCGTTAGTCCATGCAGACATTAGAAAGAGACAAAAATATGTCCTCCTAAGTAACTGTTAATACTACTTATTCCTCCGTTGGCCAAGCACTTTTAAATTAAATTAGTTCAAATATTTGTAACTGGTCATTATTCCTCAAAACTGGTTCCTAGTGACCTACATTCACATGGAGATGGTTCCTATTGAGGGTAACCTTGAGAAAGCTCCAGAACGCACATTAAAATAGATGCACAGCTTTTAAAAGCTGCAGTAAATTCTAGGCTGAATATGTGAACAGTGTAGAAAATTGGTGATTCCAAAAAAAAGCAGGGGAGAAGTTCCTTTAAAGGGTAGGAAGAAAGAGAAAAGATATATTGGGAAAAGTAGTGAAAAGCAAGGGCATTCCTGGCTGGCACGCCTGGGAGCACATGTTCTAAATACACAGAGGCCTATGGAACTGAAGTGACCACCTACTTCTAGTAATAGGGCAGTTTTCATGATTGTCAAAAGGATAGTTCATTTAAATGATTTATGAGGTTGGTCGAACTGATGGGATTAAAATGGTAGAATTATAATGACAGTAAATAAAAGTGTGCTCTACTGATTTTAAAAGTACATTGTTTTATATTAAGGAACACTCTGATTCCTAAAATTGTATTCACATTGTAACTTAAGGGAGCAATGGGATTCAATCACCCATTTTACAAAGCACTGGATGCCACAACATAAAATTAAAGCTTTCACTCAATTTAAAAACATTAGGACGATTTAAGTATGTGGAAAAAGTCACGCCATCTTTAGAACATATATTTTGTAAAACTTTCTGCTAATACAGAGCAAATGCTGTTTTCTTGTTTATAATGCTGTTATGCACTGTACGTGGTACTAAGTAAGATGTTTTGTGAGAGAATAGTATGTGATTTAAAATACAGCATTTTAGATTTTTTTAAGTTACAATTTTTTAACAGTATTTTGGAGTAACTTATACAAGCATTTTGAGAATCATGTGGCATGGATGTATAATCTTTAACCAGAAATTTTTCTCCTAGAAATGTGTTCCAACGAATAGTTCAAAGGAAAAAAAATAGCTTCTTTTATAAAAATGTCTATAATCATATTAGTTGTAATGAAAAAAGGCTAAACCAATCTTAACTTCAAAAACAAAAAAGGGAGAGATGGTTAACAGAACTAACTACACATTATTCTGCAGTGATGTAAAGTGGAAAAGAAGTGAAAACAATACTGGAAAATGATTGCAAAATATTAGTAGTAACTGATACATGTGAAAATCTTATTTCATTATAAAAGTTGTATGTTATTGGATGAGAACTTGAAATGCAATAGGGTATAGATTTGTGGATGACTTCTATTTACCTGTTTTTATATATTTAAATTGATTTGATAACATGTTGGATTAAATGGCCTTAAAATGCCTGGAAAACAGCTTTGTGAATCTTTCTTAAAATAGTATATTTTGTAATTTTAATAATAATACATTGTCAGTACATTTATATTGCTCTATAAGAGTACAATATTGTATAGTCAAGATACACATGTCCATTTTCATCTATTCTTTAGTCTTATTTATTTATTCCATGTATAAACTGCTAGGTGAAATTTCTAGGAACACTGTTAGCAAATAAATAAATAGATTCAAAACTTAAACTTTCAGTAACATAAGTAGCTAGTCTTCATACGTTAGACAGAGAGCCTGCATGGGAAAGGACTAGATAAAGAATCTAGGATGGGAGCAGATGATGGCTTAGTGGTTGAAAAGAACCCAGAATTTCTTCTGCAATCATGGACCAGTGAGGCTCTTATGAACAATTTGCATTGCCTGGCCTCTCAGTAATCTGTCAGTAAATCTGGAATCCAGGAATTGGCCCTGAAGTCCAAGGACAAGAATCTAATAACTAACTTAGCAATCATCGAAGAATCACTGTTAAATAATTGACATGTGAACTCTGAACTCTGATTCTCTTATTCTTCCATGTAGCCTTCATTTTGAAGAGAATTCTTTTGAAATGTGCTGTGAATTAATTGCAATGCTTTTTTTCCCCTAGAAGTTGACATTTAGATAGTTGGTGTAAACAACCTTAAGTTCACATATACAACAAATGTGTTGACTTTCATTCATTGCAATATTTACGTGGTTATATGGGATGCTAAGGCTGGTCATTTCCAATATTATAAGTATCTATTACAGATACTGGTCTTGATGCTTAGTTTAAAAAGAAAGGAAACTCTTTTGAGAGTTCAGTGCACTGGGAATTTCTACCAATGTTTCTCTTCGAAGGTAAAATGCTACATGTTACCTGGAAATTGTTTGTTTTGTATTCTACTTAAAGTTCTGTTTCCTCTTTTTAAAAATGCATGTGTTTTCTCCACCTTGAAAGCAAAGAGTGGTAATTTAAATGTAGTGTGGGATGTCTGCCCATATGATATTTTCATCTGTGCTGTATGTGAAAATGTCGTCTGTGAAGGAAAAGTACATTAGAATGAATGTGGATACTTCGCTGCTAGATTCAATGTGGTTCATTTTCTGCTTGTTTGAGAAAATGCTGAAGAATACGGTTGTATGAAGGTGTCCATACTTCCCATTCTAGTTGGTTTGATGTCTACATTCTTGCCATATTCCTGGACTTTGAAAAATCAATGGGATTAAGCCCTGACTCTTCCTTAAAGTTTGAGCAGTTTAGATTGTAGATGTGTTCAAAATATTTAAACCATGGTTGTTTTGATTTAATTTAAAGCCCCCTTCAAAATATTTTAATTATTAATCCTGCAGAAATCCTTTGGGTTTTTTCCCCTTCCTCCTGGTTTTTTACAACAGGAAATATTAAATGTCAAGAAAAGTACCATGCCATTATCCAAATTATCTTTTAATTAGTACCAGTTTAAACATTGATTACATTGAAAATCATTTCATTTCAGCCACAGCGTCCTGTATTTACTCATGAAAACATTCAAGGTGGGGGGGAACCGTAAGTATTCTTCTTATCTTCTAAATTCAAGACTAACCTTGACCCACAAAATGGACAACTCATTTACCTAAGCAAAATGACACAACTTTGCAAGTGATAAAGATCAAAATATTTAATATGAGTCCACCTAAATTAAGAGAAATTGTAACCTCTCCATCTTTTATAATAGAGGACAGAAGCTAATTTTAAAAAGAAACCCTTTGAGTTTATAGGGAAGACTGACTTATGCACTAGAAAAACCTTCCAAAATTTATAAATCTGTATTCCTCTCTGTTCACTGTATAGATCCTAGTAACTCCAGCTGTGAAAACACAGAAAATGCTCTAGCACTGTTTTTACACAAATTTGGAGTGTAAAATGTAAAAGTAGATGTCTAGTGATAATAACTCCAAAATCACCTTCTTAGAAGGGTCTTTTGGACGTGGCATTGGTAAAACACTCCCTGACACTCAGCTACATGGTGCTTACTACCACAGTGCCAGGAAAATGCCTTTTCACACTTTCTTTCATGTTACCTCTCCTTTCTGATACATAAGTCAAATCAGCCTGAAGGCTTACACATTGTCTTTAAGATTCTATTTTTGGGGTATGTGTCCTTTTCTGCTCCATTTTGCCCAGGAGCAATGTTCAGAGGTTATTTACTTCCTCTTAGTGTCTACATATTCTGAGAGTCAGGCCCCCGGGACAGAGCTTTTATGGAAGCTGCACAACATGTCTGAGTGCACACAGTCCGGACTCTGCTCTCCTGGAGCCAGTGGCCACAGGGCCTGTTGTGTGGCCCAGTGTTCTCATCACCATCAGTTCCTCACTTATGTGGCCCTTAGCTTCAAGCACGTGCTTCAGAAACCATCTGGCTCTCCCTAAGCACAGCCAGAAAGGTTTGATTGTTAAGGAAAGGACTGTCATGAAAAGAAAAGGATCACTTAGAATATCACTGAATTTTTTTTAAATGTGACTTGTAATTCTAAATTTGCATTGCTTTACTCATTTATACAAGCAGTGATAGGATCACATCACAAAAAGACACGTTCCAGGGATATTGAGGCTTTTCGCATTACCAGTACTCCTTTTGCAGCTTTTAAGAAGTTTGTAAATTTAAAGGTAGGCTACTTTAGACTGTTTTATGTAATATGGAGTGAATACTTCCAAGTGTGGCTGTTTGGACATTGATGAAATCACAGTACCCATAGTTGGGAGAAGCACATCTTTAACACCCTGCTTTAGACATTCTTTATTAAATTTCTATTGACTTCCATCCTAATGAATGAGATTATTGAGAATGGTGGGTTATTTAATCTCATTTAAAAAATAGATTTCAAGTAAAAATAGGAAAATAAAGTGACAGTATCTCAACAATTCAGAATTATGATAAAATAATGTTTAAAAAATAGTTGCATGTTGGAGCAAGAGGTCAGGTTGGACTGAACATTTCCTACCATGAGACCACTTTCTTTTTGAAGCATCCTGGCTGCACCACCATCATCCATCTCACCAACACATCTTTCCAAACAGCATTTTTTTTTTTTTTTTTTTTTTTTTTTTTTGTAATTCAACTGCATTTCCTGTCAGGCAATACTGATTTTGAAAGCTAACAGTGGCAGGAGGACAGGAGGATTTCCGGAAGGTTTGTTTATGTTTCCATGAAACTCCTTTTTTTTGTGGTCTAACTAAACCAGAATGGTAAGTCAATTTTGACAAGCTCGCTGGCTTTTGTCATACAAAAGTGAAGTAGGAATTTGTGCCAATTGTGGTTTTTTAGCTCTTGGGACCTTGAGATTCTTCAAGCAGCTGGGGTTTATGGCCTTAAATAGGCCTGTCTCCGTAAGTGGTTGGAGAGGTGCCTGGGGGAAGGCTGAAGCTTGACAAGTAGATCAGAAATTCAGTGTTTCCTGAAGTGAGAGATGCCATGTATCCACTGAATTGAATTCCAAGCCAGGAATGACTCTATCACCTTAACAAGCAGAAATTCACTCTCCCTCAGATATACAAAAGATACCATCCCTTCACCTGAGTGACCTCAAAATCAAATACTTAACACAAACAAATAACTGGACTGCTCCAGCCAAGGCTGGCCCCAAGCAGCTCCAAATTAAGTTAAGCTTGCATTTAACACCTTCCTGTCTTTGTCCGCTCTTTCCCACAACCAACAAAAGACCAAGAAGCCCAATCTCAAAAAAAGACAAAGGGCTGAAAAGGTTTACAAAGAGGACCCAATATTAACACGGGAAGAAATCTCTCATGTTGGAATTGCAAGCTTTGGTGCCTGGCCAACATGGATTATTAGGCACCACATTTTACCAGCTCCTTCCCAGACTTGCTCTTCCTCTCCCAACAAAGCCAACTTTTTCCAGGTTCCCCAATTTGGAAAAGTTCACAGACAAACAGGAAAGCCATGGAGCTGTGACCCTGTTACCATGAAATTTGAGCTCAAGTGATAGAATAGTTTTATTCTACCAACATATGACTTTCTGACTGAAGGGCTAATTGGAAACAAATCATTCTTTTTCCTGAGCTGTATTGAATATTCTCAACTTTTTAAAGTTGAATTGAAAATTTTAAAGTGGCCTGAAATATGGTTCTTATTTTCATTTAAACAGTATTTTCTTAAATCAGCAGAACTACATAACTGTTATGAAGTGCAGCAGAAACAGTGATTTTTAAAATCCTCTCAGTATGTGTGTATAGTAATAGGAAGTTTTCATGATAATTGCATATCAAATGCTTCCTGACCTCCTTACCTATTAGAATCTGTGTCTTCACTTTTTCACAGTGCCAACCCATATGAATACACATTAAAATACATGCTATTCTATTACCACAAATTCAATGTCACTGAATTCATTCCTATTAGTGTCACCATAACGCATGCTCTCAAAGAATTTGGGCAGGGAAAGGCTAATAGTAGCATTCTAATAAATGAAAGTAACTCTTTCATTTACATAATAAAAATATTTCAAGAGGGTTTTTGCATCAGACACACTACCTCTGTGACCAGTTTTAAAAAGGAATCCTTTTTAAAAGGATTATTTCTTAATAAGTTTTAAAAGGATTATTTCTTGATAAGTCTTTTTAAACACTTGTTTCTTGTGATCTGCTTGAGACCAAGGCAGTGAGAACTGAGTGTGGTGTGATTCTTCACCAGGGAACTACAACTGATTTTCAAATTCTAAATCCTTAAAAAATACTCATTCGAAGTATGCCACTAAACTGCTTTAAAGATGTCTTCTTGATTTGATGCAACAAAATCAAACTCTCTACCCTCAACATGAATATTCAGTTTTTATTAACATTTGATGGGGGGGACGGGAAAGACAGTTGTCAGATTTTTGTCTTACACAATAATTTTGGGAGTGTAAGAGAGGCCTGATCTGAGAAGTACAACGCCCATTTAAAAAAATCAGTCAAAATACAGATAGATATGTCCTCTTAGTGAGAGAAGAACCTCTTTGTAGTAATTCCCATATTGTGACTTAAGAGATACACCTGAGACATTTTATAAACTTGATTTTAAATCATTTGAAAATTCCATTTGCAAGTTGCGATTATTTGCTTCTGAATATGAGTAGCTAAAACTAATCCTCCTTGTTTGCATGTAACTGAATAATATCCATACTGCTTCTTTTATATTCTGAACTATTATTCTATGTCTGGATGAAAGATATCTATCATGGGACAATTGAAATACATAACTGATTTATCAATGTTGAAATGTTTTAGTCCAACAAATGGATGCAATAATCTTCCACGAATATTCCTCATTGTGAGTTTTGAAATGCCTATAGAGTGGCCTCATTCCCATGAAAGTCTGAATGTTTCTATGTACTCACCAAAGGCAACTTAATATGCTAATAAGGATAGAAACACTAAGTAAAATGATTATTGTGCTATCGTTTTTCAAAGGTATAAAGATTTTCATTCAAACACATCCATTTATCCTGTTTAAGGTTTCAGGCTCTGTATAACTATACTCCTAGGAATGAAGATGAGCTGGAGCTCAGAGAAAGCGATGTCATTGACGTGATGGAAAAGTGTGATGACGGATGGTTTGTGGGTATGTGCACAATTCTCTCAGACACACTGGCTTTTGCATAATTTGCTCATGTTTTCTCACCTGCATGGCTTCATGTGATCATCAGGCACTCTGCTTTCATAATGCATTTGACCTATTTTACATTCACATGCACTACAAAATTCCAAGACATTTGCATTTTTAATATGGTTTAGTATTTACTATTTCAGGTATATGTGATTTCCTGCTAGTTTTATTTCCAATTCAACTGAGGGAAGAAAGTTTCCTTACATAGTACCAAGAGAGAAAGACTGAGTTTTAGAACAACAGAATGGTCCCCTGGATGAGAAATATTCATACTATTTCTAGATATTCACACTATTTCCTCTAGAAAACTAGAGGAAGTGAATAATTCACCCACTTACTGGGTCTTCTCTACGTTGCCTACTATCCAGGGAATCACCTTAGCTTTAATTTGTGATAGAAGTAGAAAGAAGTTCCGTTCTTACCATCTTAACAATCTTATTCTTATCATCTTAGAAGAAGACAAGAGGTTTTTTGAGAAAACATAGACAAAATCACACAGTGGAATGCAGAGGAAAGAGGAGAAAAGAAATACAGCAGGTCTGGAATTAACAGTTGTGTCAACACCATTTCATTGTAACATAAATGAAAAAAGTCCCAACCAAAATTGAACAAAACCTGATTATCCAAGAACCTGCTTTGGTTCTGTGTCATTTTGCTGAAAGTCGCCTTTTCCAAGGACCTACTGATGACATCATGTGAGGACTTACTTTAAAGGCAGAGGAGGATGGAGGAGACAAAAAATGAGGGACTGAGACAGGAAATCCCCAGAGACATAATAAAAGAGCAAAAGCTGCATTGGTAGCCACAAACCTCTGTTTATATTAACTCCTCACTTAGAAGAAAAGCAAGTGGCTTACCTACAAGGTGAAAAAGAAAGTCAGTCTTCAAACCTGGACAGTAAGTTCCAGCACATAAGAATCCCAACTGTCAAGATCCTCTTCCCTCTCTCTGAGCTGGAACTCTTAAGGAGGAATTGAGTGAACTAATTTTTACAAAAAGTTTCAAAGGAAATGTGTTATTTGAAACCAAAGGCAATTATCACAATGACCAGCTGTGCATTTGGCTTCAGTCCTCATATGAGAAACTGTACCCAATGAAAGAACCCCCACCCACAAATAATGGTTGGGCATTTTTATAAATTGTCCTAAATTTGTAATTTATCCTGATTTTCTCTATTTTATGAAGGACTCTGGTAGTGCTTTTTGTAAACCAGTGATGTTCCATTCAGCCCATCTTCTGTGAGGCAATAAAACTGGGGAGTGATGGTGTCCCTGATGACTTAGCCTGTGTTACACTCGTGTTGAGGAGGTACCACAGGCCTCTTAATCACATAACCAAGCTTTGCTTTTATGCTTTTTCCAGTTCGTGCTGATCACAATGCCAGCCTCATCTTTCAACTGCAACTGCACTTCCCAAATGCTTATCCTAGTCCATTGCTCATGGCTGTCTAGCAGGCTGGGTGACTGGGTGCCCGCATCCACCTCCCCATTAGGACTGTATTTTCCCTTTAGATTGAGAGAGACTGAGCTTTTGTTTAGCTGACTTGACAGAAGCCCTGCATTTAAGCTTAAGAGGCAAGGAAGGCATCAGGCAATACAGACCAAACTGCTGCCTTTGTCCTATCATCTTTCAAAGGGAGTTTTCTTTTCTAAACCCTGCAGAGTTTGCTCTCTTAATGAAGTCAAGCCCAATATATCTGAAGTGCTATTCTTCACATTCTTGGTACCCCCTTTCATGGATTGCTTCTATTTTCAGGAACCTCAAGAAGAACCAAATTCTTTGGTACTTTTCCCGGAAACTATGTCAAGAGGCTGTGACTCACTGTCCCTCCTTATTTATGCCGCATTTCAACAACACATCTGCATAAACTTGCCTGAACTCTCCCCACAGGCCTCCCGTTGTCATGCCTTAGGGTTTCCAATAGAAGTCACTCGCTGTCACCTTCTCCACCTGCCACCAACCCACCAGCAGAGTAGCTACTGCAGCTGAACTTCTGCAGCCGAGCCACAGGAAATTGGCAGACTTGTTTCAGATGGAGAATGCATACTCCTGCTTCCTGTTCGCAGCCTGGAAACGTCGATATGTGGGATCAGAAAGAAAATCATTACACTTAAAAAGGTTTAAATATCTGAGGCCAGAAAGCATTTCAAGGGGCATTTCTGGTCCACCCTGGAAGATGTTCTCCCCTCAGGCAACGGGAAGATTGTTTATTACTAAATGCTGTGGTTTGCATTTTCACATTCTTAGCTTGGCGGTATATTTTCCTTTCACAAGTTTGCCTAGTGTTCTGGTTTACACGATATGACAACTGTACATCGGCTATCGTTTGCTTGCACTTATATGTTGTAATATGCACAGTGATTACAAAATCTAAAGCAAGAGTAGGAAAGTTAATTTGGATGAGTGTGATTTTTTTTTTTTGATTGAATGTGAGTTTTCAAGTAGGAATCTTTTCCTGCAGTTGTTTTGGGTTTTTTTTTTTTTTTTTTATTTTTTAGAAGTGCAAACAGTAAGTGAATAAGAGCCTTTGGTAATAATCATGAGCCTATAAGAGGTTTAGCTAGATGACAAAAACAATATTGTGTTGTAAAGTTGCATTGCTATTTTATATTAAAATGTAATAATCAGCATCATGAACAATGAGCGCTTAGTGTTTTATTTATCTGATAAAATTTAAATAAAAGCAGTGTTAGTGAGAGGTGCAAAGACTTATGCTAACATAGACACTTGAAAGTATCTGTAAGCAATATTCATAGATAAGATTTCACTGTGTGTACACATATACATTTGAGATTGTACAGAACAGACAATCCACATGCTATAGTGTACATTTTATGGAAATGTAAAAGAATCCCATATATTATTTTCTAGAAATAGAGTACTTCAGAAGCATCACAAGTAGGTAGTACAGTTGGTTTTAATAAGGATCATGATCAATACAGTTATTTTTACTATGATAGTTATTTTTCTTCTCTGGAACTCAGAATCCTGGCTACATCTGAGGACAGGAATATGTTGAGCCTGATTTTCCTGGTGTGTGTAAATATTTCCTTGGAATACATAAGGCACTTTTTAGAGGCAATGTTAAATCATTCAGTTTCTATTTTCTGCCCTGCAGTAGAAATATGCAAAATGATATTGGGACCTGAAAGATTTGATATGGTTACCAGTGCCTGACTTACACATACCCTGAGAACTAGCCTTGTATATCTTATGACTTTGCATAAGAACTATTCATATTTGGATCTCAGCACCTTCTAGATCACACTTTATATGGCAATTTCTTTCTGTGGCCAGTGGTTAACCTTTTCACAATGTACGTAGTCTTTAGAATTTTGTACATGTGTTAGTCCTTCTTTTGTACAGACTATTTAGTTGTTGAGAAAACAGGGGATTTTCCTAATTCATTCTTTACCCTTCACGTAAACTAAGCAGACTATCCTTTACCTGCCCCACAGACCACAGCACGCCTTGATAGTGCAATTCTGTAAGATAGCGTTTATGCAAAAGTTTATGAACTTGAAAGATCTTAGCAGCCAAACTGAAATGTACATAAATACTGATTACGGAGGAATTTCATTAAGAAGATAAGGAAATATCTTTGGGTAGCCTACCTTGATTACTATCAAGTTCACAACTGGGTTTATATTTAAAAAGGTTTCGATTCGGGTTTGAAATTGAGTCAACTGCATGCAGCTTTGCTGATCAATGAATAATTATCTCTGATGGCATTTATGAGAAAAGACTTCAATATCTGTTGCCTGTCATATTTAACAAGAATTGCTGTTTCTACTCTGTATCTGATTTTAAAGAAAACTATTTGTACCTGGCTTTCAGGTAATTGACTTTGAATTCTTACAAGCAAAGGTCATTGTGTTTTTCTTGAATAGACAGCTAATAAATTTTGCTTGGAAGTACACTTCAGTTTTTCTTCTTGATATTTATCCGTCAGTAAATTCTGTGTAGCATCCCCATTTGTTTGTAAGAGAAAATGCATGTGTTGTGTGTTCTCTTGACACACAAATGGAGAAAAGATGGATCTGCATCAACTCAGAGAAGAAATCGCTTTTAAACCCTCCACCAAAGCTTATTTGGTAAATGCTCTGGCTAAAAATTGTTCTTCAGCTAAACAACACATTTTAAAATACTTCTGCTTCCACAGACAGCAAAGGGTGGGGGAGGAAGTAGGGGACAAGTAAGGAGAGGGCAGAGCACAAGGGACTGTGGTGATTGATCAAGGGACTATGGTGGTGGGGGCCATACCTGATAAATATATAGATACAGATACATATAGATATATATAGATATATTTCTGCCTCCAAACAGCTAACTTTCCAAAGAGAACTTAATTACAAGAAGCTGTAAGGACTTTCCCAGTTCAACTATCTCAAAATTTACAACCTTGCCCTAATGAGCTCTGTCACTGCTGGCACACTCTGGTAATACCAACAAGCTTTTAATGAGTTTCAAACCATGTGCTGTAGTTGGGGTTCATTCTTTTCTCTCACACAAACAGTAAACAGCTAGTTTTCAACCCTGGCCCCTTCCTAATACAGTGCCTTCTGGCTCTCTGAATTTCCATCTTCTTTCACTTCATTCATCTGCACATAGAGAAATGTGCCAGTCCCCAAGGTAACATCTCGTCACTCTGCTTCACCTTCATGCCCACCCCACCCCTTCATTCCACAGACCAATTTCCACTATGTATGAACTCTCCACTAAGAGGCTTCCCTCTGTGAGAATTTGTCCCTGTTTCCTTCATAGCTAAATCTGATTCTGATGAAATTTGGGGTGCATGCTTGTGCACTCAGAGGTTGCTCAATGTTGCAAGTAAATCTACTGCCAAATGATAAGCACTCTAAAAATGTAAATCTGAGATTTTAAATACACCTGCATCAAAGCCTGGGTCTCCTAGTTCCACCTGAGAATTAATCATTTGTGCTTCTCTATAAAATATGCTGAGGTGCAATAGTTTTATCAAAACCCTGACCTCAAGTAGCCCTACACAGTTTTGTGGCTTGTGGAGATTTCTGTCACAGCCACCCAGGTTTCTGTTACAGCCATGGTTTGACCCTCCTGCCATGCTTCCTTGTTGTGAATGCCAGGATTCTGGATGGATTACTGAATTATTTTTTGGTTCAGTATTGTTTAAAACTTAGTAACCTATTTTACTTAATTTTATGTCCATGCATACTCATCACTAGACACCAGAAATTACTTAATGCATGTGCTGCTAGAGACCCCTTGTAGGTGGAGCTGGATCCATTGTTATGAATGCAACATAACATGGCCAAGAAAGTACTGTCTCTCTCTACTGATCGGCCTTTATTTATCTGCTGGGGACTCACATCTGCACACCAACTGGACGTCCAGGTCAGTGGAAGGGCAGCAGGAATAATTCCATGATTATTCCCTGTTTGGTTGTTCTTGGTGGCTGGCCAGTGCGGCCTGATCATTTCTTCCCACCATTTTCTAGATTTCAACTATAAAGGGAGCTATTAGTTAAAGATTCATTTGATTAAATAAGATTAAACACTTTGTCAGTTTCCAAGAGCCTGGTTATTTGAAGATTTGTTTCATCTTCTTTTCTGGATCGTAGCCTTCTAATCGTTGTTTATATCTCAACTATGATTGCAAATTTTTTCTCATTGTGAATGATTAGGTTCCAGAGCAGAAACAGAGAATGCTGTTACCAGAGATTGGCAAACTATGGCACATGGACCAAATGCAGCCTCTGCCTGTTTTTGAATAGCCTGCAAGTTAAGCCTGCAGATGAGTATTAACAATTCCTTGATAGAGAATACTAACTTCAAACTCGATTAAGTGAAATATTGTCTCGTCTCTCCAGAAAAAGAATCTCTTTCTTTTCATTAGTCTATCTCAATTAAACCATTAACTTATTATATTTTTAATTTCATCAATAACAAAAACTGGTGACAATTTGTCTTTGTTTTATAACTATGTCCTCAATTTTGCCTCCTGCGCTAAGAATCTGAAATTTTTCTATCTGTCCCTTTCGAAAAAGTCTATGAACTCCAGATGTTAAGCTAACTGTCAGCAACAAATATACTCACTGACTAAAGGGGCAGGAATAGTGAATGTCTATTATTAGCCAAACTGTTATTTGCGTGTACCAAACTATTATGCACATGTTGAATCCCATGTTTTTATCCCCACAACAAATTTGAAATCTGCTTTGTGCCCATTTTATAGATGAGGAAGTTGAGACTCTGAGAAAGTCATAAAAATACATGTGGGAAGTCAGATTCAGAAGCCGATGTGTGTCTATCACCTGTGCCTGTACAGTCTTCTAACCACCCCAGCTTGTGATAAACACACTTCTGTTCAAACTGTGTACTCAGAATTAAACAGCTGTACTCACAAAGCTCCTTCCCTCTCTGCCTTCTTGAACAGCCACCCACTCATAACAGCAGCTTTCTGTGCACAGGGTGACAAGAAAGGCGATATGCTCAGTTTCCCTGTAAGGCTAACTTGGTTTCTGAAAGTACCGGTAACCAGTGAAGATAGCATTTCAAACACAGACATGTTTTAACTGAGCATGAGCCTGCTCGTGACTGTGATTCATTGAGGCCCTAGCGTCTGTGCAGCTGGCAGAGCAGCTGGTGGTGGCTTTGGGAAGTGCTTGGTTGGTGTGTTGAACCACTTGGAGACAGGAGAACCCAGTGTGCTCTAGGAACACAGTGTGCTTACTGGCCCTCTTTTCACTATACAAAGTTCCAGGATACACTAGCCTGGGTGACTCACTGAGTGACCCAGAGCCTTAGCTCACTGCTAAAATCAGTCCCTCCGTAGCTCAGGAAAGTTCCATCTGAGCTCATGCACATACATATACTTGACCCAAACAACTTTTAGTACAAGACAGAAATCTGCCCAGCAAATCTTCACCTGTTCATTTGGGGTTTCTTATTTCATCCTTTTCCCTAAAATACAACAGATGACTCAGTTGTCCCAGTGTCTTCCAAAAATAAGTGCCATTTCAAACAAAACTCTTGTTGCCATTAACAACACTAATCTTTCATGAGTGTTCAAGCTTGCATTACAGACAGCTTGAGGAATGACTTTTTACAACACATTTTCTTTTTTAATTATACAAGCAACAGATGCTTATTGTAGGAAAAACTGGAAAATATAAGTGAGCAAAAAGAAGAAACAGAATTAATTATAGCTCCACTAAGGGTGAAGACTATACTTTGGAACAAATCCCTCCAGAGTATTTTTCTGCTCATGGATAAAAGCATATAAGTGAGTGAGTGAGTATATATGTGTGTGTGTGTGTGTGTCTGTGTAATATGTAGGCAAAGGTGGGATCACACAACATATTGTGTAAACTGCACTTAACTTTGAGCAAGACTTTTAAAAAGTGAATAAATCATGTTTTCAAGTGAACTTGACACTACCAAGGTTTATAAAAAGAGGGTAAAAGTCAAAGTCAGTCTCCAGGAATTATGAAAACCCAATTAATTCAAAACCAAGAGGCAGAGTTACAGAATGATCACTAGGCTAGAAAATCAACTGAAATCTGAGAAACTGGTAGAGGAAAGAAAGAAAAGGTGAAGAGAGAAAGGTAAATAACATGATTGTCTCTCTACCATAAGTCATCACATGAATTAGGCATTTTTACTGCTAAGGTATTGCAGCATCAACACCTTTTAACAAATTTCCTGACTTTACCCTAGGTGAGGCGCTCTGCAGGGGATCTATCACCCAGCTATTTTGAGCCTGTATCTTCACAAGCTCAAGGGGGTTGTGGATTATTCTCTTATTAATGCTTCAGAACTCTGGGTCCCCAAATTTTGCAAGGGCTGCTTTCAAGATGGCTACTGCCCTGAAGAATGACATGCCATCAAAGTTCTAAATTACAATCAAACACTTTGGAAAGGATGAGTTGAGAATGCAAAAAAAAAAAAGAAAAAAAGCAGGAAGTGGATAGATCCTCAGGTTATTCTAAGATTTCTATTTCGCACCTAAATCTATAAACCAGACTATGGGATCTGCTTTGTTTTATCATATGTTTTCAATCATTTGCACAAAAAACTAAACACACATCCAGAAGAACCTTCAAAGGAAGTGGCTGCATATGTACACTCTGCTAGTGTCTCTTCTATTAAGAGCAAAAGACATCTTGAAACATTCAGTCAACTGTGTTTGCCACTGAAAAGATAGAGGAGAGAGAGAGAGAGAGAGAGAGAGGTATATATCTTCACTGGCAGGTATCCTTATGAGCAGTGTTAAAATATGAAAAGAAGGAAATGAAAGCTAGTAATATTAGCAGTTGGCACATGTATAATCATGAAACATCTTCCTCAAAGTATTGACAAAGCCATAATGAAGTAAAAATGCAAGAATTTATAGATAATATTGATCCTGAAAAAATTCCCTTGGACAAAATGGCAAGAAATAATTATACCTCCTCTGACATACCAAATAAACTTAGTCTCAAAGGTGGATTAGCATAAATATTGACGTTGCAATGCCAACTAAAAGCACTTTTTTACCCTCATTGCTCAGACGCTAGTCTCTTTCGTCTCTAGAAAAGACACTGGTTTTTATCTGAAGATGAGCTTTGATACAAGGAATAAGATATCAAGACAGAAATTCCACTGAGGGTTGGCATTCAAGGCATTCTGGCTTGAATATTCTTGACTGAAAGCCACCACCATCTCAAATAAGCACCTCTGAGGGCTGAGACTCAGAGCCATTGACACAGTCAGCCATGAGTCCTTTTGACAGCGGCACTGAGCTCATCTTGGTGACTCAATGTTGATAGATTATGTTTAATTCAAAACAGAAGAAAACACACAAAGACATCAGTATATTCAGAACTTGTATGTATCACCATAGATCAGTCCAGGGACATGACGCTTGCTTGCTTTTTAAACAAGAATGCCCCCTTCAA